TGGGCCCGTTTCATGCATCATAAATATTGTAATAGTTCCAATCCTACTACTGTTAATTGGAAAGTGGGGGACTCCAGGATTTGGAAATCCATTCTGATAGCCCGTTCCGTTGCTAGCAGCTTTATTTTTTGGGATATTGGAGAAGGTAAGATCTCTTTTGGCATGATCAGTGGGGATTGGGAGATCATAATTCATTTGCTTACACTCCTCAAAACAATAATTTACTTATCTCCGATGTTTGGAGTGATGATAATTGGGATATCAATAAATTGTTGTCTCTTGTTAGGGATAAAATGGCTCATGTAGCTAAGATCCCTATAAAGAAGACAAGTAAAGATACCCCACTTTGGAAAACCTCCTCTACTATTTCTCCCTCTAAAATGCTTTACTCTAATCTTTATAGCTTTGATAAGTGGCGGTGGGGGAAATTTATTTGGAACAATTTTTTTACCCCTTCCATCTCCTTCTTCCTTTGGAGATATCTTTTTAAGATGCTCCCTCTTGTTAATATTCTAAAACTTAAGGGTCTCAATTTGGCTTCCCAATTTCATTTATGTAAATCTGAGGAGGAATCCGTGATGCATCTTTTTTTTTCATGTTCTTATGCTAAATAGGTTTAGTATGCACTTGGGCAATACTTTCATATAAACTGGTGTGGTTGTATTGACATTGTCAAATTCCTCCGTATTTGGAGAATTGTTGATATTGTGGATTCAAAATTGGCTTCATTCTCTATGTTGGTGATTTGGTTTATCTGGGTAGTCAGGAATGATCATAAACATCACATGATCATAAACATCACAATTTGGTCACAATTTGGGTATGGTTCCATCTACCTCAGTTTCTCACATTCTTGCTTACTTTACCCGGGCTTGTCGTATTTTGGGTTGTGTGATGATCAGCCAATCCTAGGGTGGGTAGGATGGTCACTCTCATTAGGTGGAAACCACCTCCCATTGGATGGATAAAAGATAATTTTGATGGTAATTGGGACTCCTCAGCGGCAGGGGCTAGTGGAGTTTTTCGTGACCACCTTAGGAAGTGCCTATGTTTCCTTACTTCGCCGATTGTGGCTTCCTCTCCTTTGGAAATTGAGTACTGGGGTTTTCTTTTCTCTCTTTGAGTAGTCATTTCTTGTAACTTTTCTCAGTTGTTGCTTGAGACGGATTCTCTTACCATTTACAAGGATTTTGGTTTGACTAAAATGCCCAAGTGGAATGTTTTGGGGATTTGAAATAGAATCAAAACACTTATTGAAAATTCTAATTTGTCTATTGTTTTGAGTCATGTTTTGCAGGAAGGAAATTCTCCCGCAGATTGGTTGGCCAGGAGGGGTAAAGTTCGGGGTAACCTTATTGTCGATGTTTCGCCACTGCACCATTTAAAGAGGCTTTTACAGGGTGACTCCTTGGATTTGCCTTTCATCAGGAGATAATGTTTTTATTTTGGTTTTGTCTTTGCTTTCTTGGAAATTTATGGCTTACAAGAAACTTTTGTTGGATTGTGTTTCCTCCCCTATGAAGGACTTATACACGTTATGCATGGCTAATCATTTACTGGAAATCCTTTTTTCTGTCTCGGTTGGGAGCGTACCCTTCTGGAAGATTGTGGGGTTTGTGAATTTCTTAGCATGTTTCGGGGGGAGGATTTTGGCCTCCATTATTTCTGGGTGCAGCTATGTTTTGATTGGAGCCTTTTGGTTTATTCTTTCATGAAGGGAAGTTTTGGTAAAATTTTGGTTTCCTGGATTAATGTGGCTAAGCATGGGGGGATTTCCATTCTTCATTTCTGTGGCACTTCACTTTATATACAAGAAGAAAACTAGAAGAAACCTGCATATACAAGAAGAAAACTAGAACGGTATGTGTGTGTGTGTGTGTGTGTGTGTGTGTGTGTGTGTGTGTGTGTGTGTGTGTAATGGCTGGAATTGGCTGGATGTTGGGATTTCACTCTATTTGCATACTTTACTTTCCCTGGAAGCGTGGACTATTTTCTTCCAACATATGGTTTCACGGTTAGTCTTTCTTAGGCTCTCTTGCGTTGATTAAAGTCCATTTGTCAGCATTTTGTTGGTCCTTTCTAGAACAACTGCAGGAAGCTCTATCTCTATGCTAACTTATCTAAATGGTTCTTTGTCCTTTCGGCTACATATTATTCTGATCTTTTTTTGTTATTTTGTTGATGCTTCTATGGCACCTTTTGAGGCATTTCTAGCTGCAGGTTGACTTCTAAGGTTTTTGTTGCGACGTCGTCCATACTTTGTAACATTTTTTTGGCGCAAGATAGGCTTAGCTGGAGCTTCTCGATGCATTTCTGTTTTGGGTTTTTTGTTTTGTTGGTTTAGTTATTATTTCTTGTGTTTAGTTTACTTTTTTGTATGGCGTTGTACTGCATATTTTAGAACCCCTAGGTTTTTAATGTATTTTTTGTTTTTAGTTGGGGATCCACTTTCCCTCCCTTATTTTGTAAACCTTTTTTTTTTTGAAAATGAACGCGTAAGGAACCACGAGTTGCTCTTTTTATAAAAATATATATATTATTTATTATAATGATATATAATATAAATATTTAAATAAATTATAAAAATATAAATATTTATTATAATTTAAAATTTTAAATTAAGTATAATTTATAAATTATATAAAAATATTTTTAATATATATTTAAATATATAATATATAATTAAATATTTTGTTATAAACAAAATATAATATAAATTTATATATAATTTATATATATAAATTAATTTTATTATATATCTTATATAAAGCTCTTCCTGAAATGTATTCCAAGCAAGCAGTCTTCACATATCTTGTTTGACTCCTTTGGAAAGTTTTTCCTGAATTGTATTCCAAGCAAGCAGTCTTCACATGTCTGGTTTGGGTGACTGATGCAAGCAAGAAGTCCTTTAGTATAATTCACAATAGATTTTTTTCTTTGATAACAGCTTCAGTCCTCCAAAATTAAGACGCCCAAATTGAAGATGTCTGAGCCAAGATGGGTTTTTGCAGAAAGCTTTGAGACACTTGGTAATATCATTTTGAATATTGAGCAAGAAGATTCTATTTCTTGACATTATTATCTTCACAATTAGGTTGCTCATATTTTCTCACATAGAAAGGTTCTTGTATTTTAAATGAATATCACATAGGATATTACTCTTCATATTTGGCACATAATAAACAATAAAAATGAATTAATGTTTTCCATTCTTCAACCAAATGAGTTTATTACATTTGCCTTTCACTGTCACCTTGGACTCATCTCCAAAGAACACATTTCCACTCTCCGACTCGTCAAGCTCTACAAACATATTTTTTCTTCCGCACATATGTTTTCTTGCAGCGATATCTATATACCATGTATTATCTTCAACTTTTTCATTATCCTTATATGCTAGTAGCAAAGTGTCATCTTGTTAGCTTCTCCCTTCCACATAATTAGTCTTCTCTTCAATTTTATTGTTATCAAGAGTTCTACATTTTGTAGCATAGAGACCAATTTTTTTAAAATTGTAACACATCACTTGAGATTTTTCATATATTTATCTTAATTTTTCTCCTCCACACCCACTTTTTGAACTTACTCCTCGTCCAAAATTAGTATTGTTATTGTTGTCATTATTGGAGCTCATATCTCGTCCATGTCCATGACCACGGCCTTGTCCTCGACCCCAACCTCTCCTTGTTGACTTCTATCATACTCAAGGCCCTCTTTTTTATTTGCATTAATTGCATCTTCATGATTTATTCCGTGATCCCTTGTTTCTTCTTAGTTTATTTTCATAAGTTTATAAAGAACCCACGAGTTGCTTGATTGTCTTATCCTCTAATTCTTTAGTTTCTTTAGTTATAGCGATAATAAGTTCAAACGTTGAATTTATAGATCAAAGGATCTTCTCCATAATCCTTACATCTTCTAGCTTCTCCTCATTACTTTTTAATTGATTAACAACTCGTAAGTTTCTAATAAATTAGTCGGAGACGTCTTCGGCTTCTTTCACATGTAAGGCTTCAAATTTATCACTTAATGTTTGGAGATGCACCTTCTTGACTTGTTATGCTCCTTTATAAGAGGTTTGAAGCACGAATTCGCATCTAAAATCTTCTCAAAAGCACATCATCTAATCCTTGATAGATTAGATGGAAATCCTTCTCGTCTCTCTTCCTCAAATTTCTTAGAATATCTTTTTGAGTTTGGGTTAGACTTGACTTGTCTTGTTGCTCATTGTACCATTTCTCAGCCATCTCTGATACATCTTGTACTACAAGAAGGGTCTTTATCTTGATGTTCTAGTTGTCATAGATGTTATCGTTGAGCTTTAGAACTTGAAAGGGGGTCATACCGTTGCTCGCCATCTCTCTAAAAAATAACTTTGGTGTTGATGCAATTTTGTTGGAAAATAAAAGACTAATGTAAGAGGAGGAATGCTATGAAAAAAGAGGAGGAATGCTTGTAGAACACACTTTTATTTCACTCTTACTTCTTGATTTTACTTGATACAAAACTCAAACACACCACACCTATTTATACTAGTGACACCACCATTAAGATTGTTCCAGTATATTTAAATCCAATGGCTACTATTTGCTCTTTACAATGTTCTTGTATCTTCACTTACAAATATCATTAATTATATATTCATGAATTCTTTAAATCAATCCTTTAAAATATATTTTTAAAATCTTCTAAAACTTTCTTCATTAAATGAGTCTCTAGAATTTTTCAAAAAGCATTCTAGATTATGGACTCAATTCAAAGTCCAATTTATATTAAGTTTAATATTCAAAAGAAAAGGATTTGCAATCCAACTCCACTCAATTTATACATAGGGATATGTAGGATGGAGGAGCGTGAATGGCAACCTGGACTATACGACTAGATGTTAGTATAGAAGATAGGTCGCATTCTTTCCTTACTGTATGGGGATATTTAATTCGAAAATTCCATACCCAGTCCTGGAAGCAATAGAACCCAATAAAAAAACTAAAAAAGAGTCTCTTCTCAAACGAGAGGGAGAGGGAGAGGGAGAGGAGGGTTGGGGAATTAACATCAAAATGCGGATGACTAATTTTTTGTCCGTTTTTTAGAGTACAAGAAGGCAATCAAATATGCATAAGCTTCTAATTAATCGTAGGGCTTCGTAATTAATTAAAACACGCATGAGCTTTGGTACAAAAAGATTCAAGCAAGTATCTTCTTGGCCTCGTTAGATACGTCATCACTGTCTGGAAGGTCATCGTCTGTAGCTCTTCTAGCAGCAAATTTGTAGTATGCAAACTGCAATATAATCTATGAACAAATTAATTCTGTTAAGGTAGACTCAAGATCGATCGGTCATCAAGCATTATTGATCTGCACTTATATATACAATTATTATTAATTGTGGAAATTAAGTAATTAATTTAGGATACAAATAGGTCCAGTAGCACACAAACAACGGCATCCAACAACCAAGGTGCGTTAGCCTTTAGCATATTCCATTCAGTACTCCTCATTAGTATGCTGCATTCAGAAAAAAACAAAATTAAAAAAAAAAAAAGTTATATTTTAAAATGAGTTAGCCTAAGGCAAAGTTAAGAAATTAATATGAATTGACGCGGTTAATTAAGGAAGGATGCATATATCTCTATACCTCCCGACATAGGTTGCGTTTGCAATTATAGCAAATGTGAACATAAGAGGATTTAAACCCTGCAAATTGATTGCAATGCATTGCAGAAAACCAACATTAATTATAGTTTAAAGTATATATCCGAAAGCTTCAAGCGAAAATTCATCGATCCTATATGAGAAAATTAAGCACAACAAATTTTAATGTACGTGTGTAATACTGTACCTCAACGCCTCCTCGTTTGATCTGTGGAAAAGCAGTAGTTAGAAGCTAGCCAGCTAAAAATCTATATATATATATATATAATTCCGCATAAAATTGCACAAAGAAAATTTGCAATTTTAAAGTAAATATACGTACATTTAGATAAATTTGAGGCAAACGTCCTCCCATATAAATGGCAGCCATCACCCACCCCAAGGCCATTCCGTAAGGATTGGACCCCATTGTCATCAACCCTGTGTTCTGACGCCGGAGAAGAATAATGTTAGCATCATTTCATTCTTTTTAAAAAAATGAGTCTCCTTTTTTCCATGATTTATTTCCAATAACGATATTCAACCAATACCACATAATCACCCAACATAAAGCTAATGCCTACATCATATATCATAATTATGACGATTGGATTTAATTCATTCTTAATGCATATGTTCGTGCAAGGAGCAATAATGTAATAATTAATCACCTTTAATATTCTTCTGCCGATATTTGCTTCCGTAAAAGCGCTGGCCTGAGACGGCAAGCCAGCGGAACCTATGATGAGTGCTGCATACCCACTCTGTAAATTTATGTATATCAAATAATTCGATTAATTAGTGCATGGGCAGATCAGCACTGCACAAAAATCTAGCCTGAATAATTTAAAAGATACACAGAGTGCATGACAAAAGCTTACTGTAAAACTTATTATCATAAAAAAAAATAGTACCAGACTATTATTTATATTGCTTGATGTAGCTTATTTTAATTGAATTTTTTTTATCATGCTTAATTTTAGTGAAGGTCATCAACAGTCTGTTACATTAGAACTCAACTTATCTGTGCGTTACTTCTAAATTTTACATTGGGGGGCAAAACATCTCACTATCGCCTTCCTCGTGCATGCGTAATTAAGTATTAGTCCATAAGCACATTCAATCAAGCCAATATGTTCATTTAGGTGTTCATCCTTCTATTTCAGTCCCAATGGAATAAGTCTTCTCGTTATAGCAGGTTGTTAAGTGTGGAGCGTGATTAACAAGCAGAAACGCCCATGAATAGTATAGTGCAATGGGCAACCCAGTACCCAGTGGGATTTCTAGGAGCCCAACGAAAGGTTTTCAAGTGGAAAACCAATGCCAGAAGAGGCGCTTAGCCTCCTAGAAGACTAATTTCAAGCATTCCAGATCACAATACCCAGAATTTACTCGGCGCGAGGGGGCGGCGCCTAGATGCTTGTAACCAATTTCTACAATCGAGACTTTAAGCTTTATGTTTCTTTGATGTGGGATGTGAGTGTGAATAATGTGAAGTAATGATATGAGTTGGTTGTTAGATTTCTATGAGTTCTCTTGTGCGAAAGAAAAAAAAAGAAGCGTCTGTGAGTTCCAGGAGGTAGAGAGGTTTGAGTATGTTGTAATTTGTACAATTCCTCAATCACCTACTATTAAAGTCAGGAGATGCAGTAGAGTCACACGACTGGTATTTTCTTCTTTGTATTATCTTTTGTTAATTGATAGTTCTAAAAAAAAACCACTTAAGTTAAAGACTCAAAAAAGTGAGAGTTTGTGATGGATGACGAGATGTAGTCACTGAATTCAAATTAGACATAGAATTTAATAGAACTACCAGATGACAAAAAGACACTGCATAACAAGTGAATCTACAGGTTGAAAGAAGAGTTAGATGGTAGCAAGTGTCACAAGGCAATGCTTGTTGTGAAGAGGTTTCAGGTAAAGGAATGATTGGACTACTCAAAACTATTTTCTCTAGTAGTGAAGATGATAACTATCAAAGTTGTTTTAAGCTTATTAGCAGAGAAAAATTTACAACTAGAGCAGATGGATGTAAAGATAACTTTTTTACATGATAACTTAGAAGAAGAGTTGTATATGGTGCAACCGAAGGGATATGAAGTTCCGGTAAAAGAAGACCTGATCCGCATATTGAAAAAGAGTCTTTATGGTTTAAAACAGGCCCCAATGCAGTATTACAAGGGGTTTGATAGATTTTTGTCAGGCAATGGGTACACGAAGTGCCAAGCAGATCACTATTACTTCATCGAACAGTTTAATAATTATTATATCATGCTTCTATTATATATCAATAACATGCTAATTCCAAGCACAGATATGGAGAAGATTAGAGACTTGAAAGAGCAATTTTCAAGAGAGTTTGAGATTAAGGATTTGCGTTCAAACTAGAAAATACTCGGTATGAGATTCAACAGAGACAAAAGTACAGGTACTTTAAAGTTATCTCAGGCAAAATATATTCAGAAGATCTTATTTATGTTCAACATGAGTGAAGCCAAACCAGTTTGAACCTCTTTAGGTGATTAGTTCAATCTATCTAAGGAACTATCACCTAAGTCTAAAGCCGAGCAAGCATGGATGATGAGAACTCTAAATGTTTCAGCTGCTAGAGGTCTAATGTATGCATTGATATGTATTTAAGGTTAGATATTGCACATGTAGTAGGAGCGGTCAGCAGAATATGGATGATGAGAACTCTAAATGATTGAATTTTGCTATGGATGATGAGAACTCTAAATATTTATGTTCAATATGAGTGAGGCCAAATCAGTGTGAATTCCTCTTTAGGTGATTAGTTCAATCTATCTAAGGAACCATCACCTAAGACTAAAGCCGAGCAAGAATGGATGATGAGAACTCTAAATGTTTCAGCTGTTAGAAATCTAATGTATACATTGATATGTGTGTAAGGTTAGATATTGTACATGTAGTGGGAGTGGTCAGCAGATATATGGATAATCCAAGAAAATATCATTGGGAGATGAGGAAGTAGATTCTGCAATACTTGATAGGAACAATCAATAATACACTTTGTTATGGAAGTGTAGTGATTGATCTAAAGGGATATATAAAATCAGATTTAGCAGGCAATATTGATGGTATAAGAGATACAATATATTATAACTTTATTTTGGAGACATGGCAGTGAGTTAGGTTTCCAGGCTACAAAGATTATTACACTTTTAACTACAAAAGTTAAGTACATTGCTATCATTGAGACTAGCAAGGACATGATTTGGCTACAAAACTTTATGATAGAGTTGGCCAAGGAGCAATGAATTAGAAAACTTCATAATGATAGTATGAATGATATTCATCTAGCTAATAATGTTGCTTTTCATTCCAAGATTAAGTACATTTATCTGAGGAATCACTTTATTTGTTCAGTCCTAGAAGATAGTAAGCTATGTTTGGAAAAGATACATGCAACTCAAAATCCTGCTTATTTTAACTAAGGTGGTAGCAAATTAAAAATTAAAGCTATGTTTGGATTTAAGTGGTTTCAAGAAGGTTGAAACCAGGGGTGAGCCACACTTTTGTACACAACTATAAAGATGGTGCAAGTTTGAAGGAGAGGTGGTTCCAAATAAATCTTCAAGTGGGAGATAGTTATGTGTGGAGCTTGATTGGGAAGGAGAAGCACGCAGGCATAGTGCAGCTAGCAACCCAGCATCCCATGGGGCACTCCTATGCTTGGCAACGAGCAGCACAATGTCCGACCATACTCCTTAGAGCCAATGAGGCATCTAAGAGCCCAACCAAAGGTTTCTGGACAAAAAACTATCACTAGTAGGGGCACTTAAGCATCCAAAAAGACTAATTTTTAGTATTATATATTAGAGCAATTAGAAACTCGCACAAGGGGGTGACTCCTAGGCACTTGTAGTTGATTTCTACAATTTGAGACTTTAATATTTTGTATTTCTTTGCTATGAGATGTGCGTGTGAATAGTGTGAAGCGATGCTATGAGTTTGTTATTGGATTTTTGTGAATTCTCTTATGTGAAAGAGAAAAAAAAAGAGAGTGTTCATGAGTTTCAAGGAGTTGAGAAGTTTGAATGTGTTATAATCTTTATAATTACTCCTCATTTCATTGTGAATTTTTTTTATGTGGTGTGGCACTGTGATTTTTTTATCATTCTTAGATTTTTTTCAATTTAAATCTTGGTGCGTTTTTCATATTTTTTTTTAATTACATGTTTGCATGCTTCTGTTCAAATATTTTATTTTGAGCCTCTAGATTAGTTTTTTCATAATTTCTAAAAAATCTCCAAACACATGTAACAAACTTCACGCTCATTGCATCATGTAAATCTCGAAGAAGATATCACCATAGAGATCAAGTGATTAAAAGCTTGTACCCTTAATATTTCTCCTACTACTTTTTGGGCTAGTTGATTGTCATGGTTTTTACTGGCATGGCTTATCATCTGCCATTCAATAATGGAAGAGTTTGCTAAATTGTGTTTTTTATTTATTAATAAAAGTCCAAGGCTTAGGGTCTCAAAAGGGTAATAATATTAGAGCTTAATTTTGTAAAATATTTTTTAGCTGTTATAGTCTTATATTATAGGGAGTTATATTTATCTAAAATTAGAGAACATGAATGCCTTAAATAGTGTTGCATACACCACACAACGGTGGTGAATGGAGTTCAAATCCGTTGATATGCAATTGAGGAAACCACTCACCTTGAAAGAAGAGATAATAGGTAATTGGAGGTGCTTGAGGTAGTTCTCCTCATATAAGATGAGGAACTATGCAATTTAAAATAGGAGGCTTATGATGGATTCAAAAACAATAATGATGATCAGTTAAAGCATCATATGGTGGTCAGAGGTTTAGAATTTGATGTAATTTATAGATTTTGTCTCTATTAAACGTCGAGTTGAATTTGGGAATATTTATGATTTGTCATATGCATAATTGGTAAGGTCGAGATTTTGTAGAATCTAGGCACATATTATGTCAGAATTTTTCCAAAATGTACACCAACTTTAGAAGGCCGAGATTTTGCCCTTCTTAATTTGAAAGGTGGTTGACATATCCCTTAGTTTAATAACAATCAGCATATGTAATATTTCTAGTGAATGGAGTATATTGTTTTAAAGCTATTGATACCACATTCAATAGAGTTAATTTAAATTTTAGTGATCAAATATAATGAAAATCTTCACAAAGGTTTATAAATAAAATTTAGGGCATCTAAGGATAATGATGATAGGCTAATATTTTTTTGTCATTCATCTTCCCTATCAAAATTAAATACCATAATTATTACGATTACGTTATCCACAAACTATCCAAAATAAGAAATTAAGTTGAAATTATTTTCAAGATAAATAAACATTTACTTCATCTATTGTATGATATGCTTTTTTTTTTTGTTTTTTTTTTTGTTTAGAATGTGGACATTGAAACATTTCTTTCAAAAAAAAAGTTATTGAGAAGCTGCTAACAGTAATAATTCATCTACATTCAAAAAATTCACACATTAGTCTTTATTGCTTAGATAATTATTTATTATCCATCCATGATTGGTAAATTATGATATTCATAAGTAATTTTTTTAGCAATCATATTAATCTTTATATCACATATATAATAATAATCTATTATCAAAAACAAACATCACTAATTATTTTTTTATAGGTGCATACATATTCATCCCATTAATTGCTAAAATAAGTACATAAGCACCTACATACATTCAAGTGCAAACATACAAACACATACATATCAAAAAGATATTACATACACAAAT